GTAGTACTTGAGAACCCTGCACTTTCGATTCCACTCAGTGCATATGACTTTGCAGTGAATTTCAATGACGTCATCTTTGTCTCAGCGTATCAACGTCCCAGTGTATCAGCGTCTCAGTGTATCAGTGTATCAGCGTTTATAAGACAACGTGAATCTGCAAAACAATCGTACAGGCTGAAGAACCAGCAGTACAGAGGGAATCTAGACACTGCGAACCAATACAGATATGTGAAAGTATTCAAAACATGCAAGTGAACATGGCGATCTGCGGAAAATGTATAGTATAGGTATAAATCTTGGCCTTAACATAAAAAAAAATAAAATTAATTAAATATATATAAAAAAAACGGCTCTTTGAAAAGCAAATGATGGCAACAAAAAACGTCCAGTAGAGCACTACAACAACTTGTACTCCAATGAGCTGAAGCTGATAATATCTTTCTATCTCAAGTCAGCTTTACCAATTAACATGAGCTTGATACAGAACCAACAGCGGAGGACCTGCACTGCAGTAAACTCACTCTCAAACTGGAAAGCTAGGTTCATTGTTTAAGTGCTAAAAATGTGAACGCATATGCCGACGAATAGTGGACTGATCAGTTACCAAGGAAAGTGTACTCCAGAAAAAAATGTATGTACGTGTCTCCCAGCATCAGGAATTGATGAACGGATGCCATAATTATGGAGGTCGACTTTCAGAAGGCTACAACAGATGCGAAAACAAGTCAACGTTTTAGATTTTAGAATTTGGAGTCGGTTTTAAATTTTTTAACTACTAGTTAAGAATGAATGATGATGACATAATTAATGTCGAAATATTGAATCCCAACACGATGGCGTGTATTTCAATACTTGGCGTATGTATTATACTTTCCTAGTTAAGAATGGCAAATGGACATTTGCCTTGAATATTAGCCTATTGCTAAGTTCTCACCAAACAATTGCGTAAACATACGCAAGTTTAAAATTACATGTTTGCGGAACATGCACGTTTTCCTAACCCTTTTATAGTGATGATAATAATAATAATAATAATAATAATAATAATAATAATAATAATAATAATAATAATAATAATAGTAACATTTATTTCGAAATAGTCATAATAATAATACAAATATAGTGATATAATTATTAAGTACAAATATAAATAGAATAAGGACTATTTCAGGAATCAATATTAGAAGATATCACCTTTTCTCATGATGATTCCTTAACAAAAGAAAGCAAGACAAACGCAAAAATGAAATACGGTACCGCAAACGTTGTTTATTTTGTGTCACCTTTCATAGCCTACACCTGTGTTTGACAAGATAACTTCTTTGTCCAACATATACAAAAATGATGTCTTATCCAATGTTATGGTGTTAATTACGCGTTACATTTTTATGGTAGTTAAAACAATATGATAAAAATTATTTTTATCTCTATAGAGTTAGTCCCAATGAAGGTGTAGGCGTATGTAAACTAAGATAACTTCTTTGTCCAACATACAATAGATGCTGTCTTATCATTTGGTAGTTAAGAAAAGCTGGAATTGAGATAGGCACAGGTAAGTCACTTGAAACGCAGTTTTTTGGAGGAGACATACACTTTAAACAGTTTAGACCGTCATGTTTTTTTTTTATATTATTTATAATAAGACCTACCCCTATAACGAGGCAGTGGTGGCGCCAGCGGGGGAGGGGAAGGGATGGCATTCTCCCTTCCCCTATTCGGACAGCTTGGAACCCCTGTCGTCTGATATTATGACGAGGTAGGGAACATCTTTACTGCTGGATAGAGAAACAAACGAATACATAAGGCGAGACGTTTTTTATATCTTTTTTGTCGAATCCGCCGCCCACCAATGATATTTTTATTTGGGATAAAAATAACATTTTATTTTTGGCCAACTACCGCATCTACGAAAATAAGAGTTTTGTTTTCTTATTATTTTTACTCCCGTCACTGCTTTGAAATCTCCAAAGTTGTTACCCCTTCGTTTAATCCATAATTTGTTATATTTTCAGACAAAAAAAAAGAAAAGAAAAATCTCGAAGGTTACAAAAAGACAAAAGGTGACACTCTTTCTAAAAAACTTCAGAAACATAAAATTAAAAAAAAGAAAGGAGTAGGCCTAAAGGTAAGAATGTAAAACAAAGGAAGCACTCTTCCCCCACCCCCTTTTACCAAAAATCACGGTCAAGTAGTTAAATATCACCTAAAATCACCCTATTTTGCGAATTAGCGCCACTCAACTGATTATCGAGCCCTCAATTCACTTTCGCACCCCCATCAGTCCCCCAATTCAAGTCTTCTAGATACGCCACTGAAAGGAAGACGGCCCCGCCCCTTCCCCCACACACTAAAAATGCATGCAAAGAATGACATTCTAAAACCAACATTATGCATCCTGTGGTGTCTTAATGTAAGTATCCGAAGGAATTGCTGCAACCTTCTCCGTTCTCTGAGGACTTTGCTAACCAACCTGGAAGTTGATAGCCTTGGAACACAACCACTGTACCAACCGCTCCAACAGAAAGCCGTCTATTACACCGGACTTACGTTTATCTTATCGTTTTGTTAATAAGAATTGATAAGTTAGGCCATGGTTAGGCCTATACTTCAGGGAAATGTTTGTATTAGGGCCTTGATCACATATATGGCATTTATAATGCCAGTAATGCGCGCATTAGTTTTAAAGGGAGGGCGTCGGTGCGCACCGAAGGCCGATGTTGAGATTTGTAAATTATATCTACAACAGAATTACAGCAATAATAATTGTTATTTTTGTAGTCTCTCTTAGAGAGCGTTGATTTTACAAACTTGAGGATAAACATCATGAATCGCACTCAATACATCGCATTTGTGGTGTTCTTTTCAAATGTAAGTTAAAAGTGTTTTTTTTTTCCCCACACGAAGAAGTAGGGTAAACGTAATATGTAAATGAATATTAAGTAAGCCTATCATGTAATTTGACTATGAAAATTATATATATATAGACATACATATATAT